GTACAAAAGCAAGCCGATAATCTCTTGCCACATGTGTTTTGCTTTCCGCTAATAGTGCAAAAAGTGCACAATTAAAAGTTAGTAAAAGGCCACACAAAAAGGAAAGCTTACCAATCGCCTTCCACTGTTTCATCAAGTCCAGAGAATCGGATTAATGTCTTATTCATTTGTAAGCTTGTTAATAAATCGGTTATTCGTTGCGTTTCTACAACAACTAAATTTTTTTATCCCTATAAATTATTATTTCTGTACTTACTAAAATTTTAAAAGTTAGTTTTAGTTAAAAGAAATTTAAACTGCGATTTTATAACCAGCAAAAAATTATCTAGATGATCAGTGTAAAGGTCTGGGTCTTGTTATGATGAAGCTACATTTGAAATTCTGTTACGCTAAGTTAAGATTCTGGATTAGCTTGCCTCCAGTACTTGTGCAGAAGCACATCACTTTAAAAATCCAAAGTATCACATTTGATTGTCTGCTGACTACAGACTTTGACTGTCTGCTGACTCACGATTCAACAAATAAGGCAGCTTCATTTAATCATTCTTAACTTAAAAGGCTATGTTCTAGCGCTGAATTTCAAATTTTTGAACCTGCTTCTCCTTTGTTCGCCGTTGAAGGATAAAGAAGCTGCTGACGGAGCGTTGTGCCGCCGCTTGGAAAATACGGGTTTTGTGGCACAAAAATCACATCACTCACATCGGAATGCCAATCAATGGTGCCTGCAAATAATTTTACTGGTAAAGTCAAAGTGCTAACGCTCTCGCTTGAGAACGAAAAGGGAAATAACGCTGTGAATGAGGAGGAAAAAGTGCAGGGGTGTTAAAAATGTTTTGAGTAGACAATCGCAATCATACCCAAAATGAATTCACTGAAAAGAGCTCTTCTGCATTATCACGATAAAAGGAAAATAATGATTCACTGGGCTAAAAACACTATCTGTCAAACGCTGGGCATCCTTCACTGGCAGGTGTTACGAAGCCCGAAAAAATTCAACAAGTAGCAGCTCTTGCATTTCAAGCAAAAATTATTTTTTAGTTGGCAACAGGCAGAAACAATAAATCATGCGCTTTCGCACTAAAATCGAAACACACTAAAATCGTTAATAGTATAAATGGTTGGTGTTGCTTTACAGCCTAACATGTGTACACATTTTGACAGTGTTATTGTCGCTTTTTCTTGCTTACACGACGAAAAAGACCTCAGCTGGGATAGCAGTATTACATCACGAGGACGCATTTAATCTTGACTTTCAAAATGCGTGATTATTATAAATTTTGCACGAAGAGGATGGAAAATTGAGAACTGGTTAAAATGTGGAAAAGATGACGGAGTCGCATGAAACATTTGCATACCCATATGTGAGAACCAAACATGCTTAAGAATTGAATTTGAAGCCTTAGATTGTACGTAGAGACGGAACATCCCCTCAAAATTTCAACCTCATGGCTTGTTTGATTCCCGAGTTAACAATTTTCTCACCAGAAATTTCTCATTTTGCACATGATAACCAAGCCCCTCTAATGGCTGGATGTGAAATCTTTGCGTCATACACGGGCTGAGAGCATCCTTTCAAAATTTCAGCATTTTGGCTTTTTCTGGCTCTCGAGTTGAAAGTGGGTGACAAAAAGTGCGAATACACAGACACACACATTTTTTTTACACTTCACGTATGCAAGAACGCATAAAAATGACGATTTTTTATAAAAAGAAAAATGCAACATGCTTTTTTTTTGAGGAGAGGCAGTTTTTTCTTACCTGCTTTTGAGGCTTGAGTATGCTAAGGATTTCACCCAATTCTTTTACTTTATCGCAACATTTCTTTTCCAATAAGTTCCAACAAAGGAATGCGTCAGCAATCTGCCAAACTGGCAAACATTCAGTTTTCCACATCACAAATGAGATTTCTCAGCCTTTTCGTGGGAGAGATTCAGACAGGACTTTGTGTTTCCAGTAAAAGCGTAATTTGCCTTCATTAAAATCTCTTAGCTTCCCTTTCTCAGTTCACCGTCCTCTTTTCCTTTATCCCACCATACCCGCCTGTCTTGATCCCTCCATTTAGTTTGCACCTCTGCGTGCACCTAACATATTCATTGACAAATTGTCCCATAGGCACACTCCATAACAGCAAACATCACCTGAAGTGCATTCCCATAATCCAGCAATCGCTCGCAGCAGTGAAGTTTTGCCAGTGCTGCTACCACCCGAAATCAACAAATTTTTGCCAAGACAAATTTCCATCGACATGCCTGTAATAATAACAAATAAGGACATGTATAATTACTGGGAAAATACAGCATTTCGTGTTTTCCTGAGAAAAATTCTAGTTAAAAAATAGACCTTTACTTGCAGATCCTTTGCACATGCAAATTTATGTAGGAGGCTGTCCTGGGCAACTGAGTCTAATAGTTTATTGCAATGGCTTATTTTTGGCAAGCAGGTTATAAATCCCCTTACGCGTACTTAATAACTTATATACCAAGAAGCAGTTAGTAACTGCTTGGGCTATCAGTGTGGATATCTCCTATTAGTGTTGTTATTAAGATGCTTCCACACGCCGAGCGCAGTTGTGCCGGGCCCTTCGATAACTAATATAAACTAAAAAATAAATTATGGAATATAACAGATGTAATATAGACAGCACAGAGCAGTTGTCCAGAAAACAAACAATACAAAGTGTCGTTATGAAATCTAAGAGTAGCCTGACTATCCTTTGAGATGCCTATGGTTTAAAAGAATGAAAAGTCAAAGATAGCATGGACGCACGAAGCAGTTTTTATTTGATTTTAATGTTAGCTGCGCTGAATTACCTCGAACGAAGGCAATTTCTTTGTCACCTGGATTTGTGATGCTTACATTTCTTAGTGTTATTACAGCACCGCTGTTAGTTGCACGTAACTTCGTTTCACTTTGCACCACTGCCATTTCCCTGTAATTTTGAAATGAGCAGCGTTGTCTCAAAATGATTAAAAAAACAGTCATCAAATAGCACAATAATTACCAAAATTATTAATATACAATAAGTTATAGTAATCTTTGCCCTCAGTGGCTTTTAGCCTGATTGAATTTTATTAGCTATACAATAAGCTTAATTTCTTTGAGTTTTCCAAAATTAATTTGATGCCGTAATCAGCTGTTGTTTCGCTGTCGCGTTTTTTTTTTGCCAGTGATACAACTGGCAAAATTTTCATTTTCCTCTAACTTGAGCCTCTCTCATCAACATCATCCCACATAGAAGCACGTTCAGCTGGCAGCCTTTTCTTTTGCCTTTTAAAGTTGTAACTCTTTGTTCTTTTAAAATGACTATTTAGCTATAAGCCACTTTTATTTGCCTTACCATAATTTGCAATAATTAGGGTAAATATTCAATAATTCTCAAATAACTTAGTGGAATTTAGTTACATTATATTATCATTCAGCAAAATACTGTAGTTCGAAATAGCGAAATTCGCCTACTTCTGCATCAGATGGATGTGTTCTTCGTTGTCGGCTTCTTTTTGGCGCCTTTCCAAACCACCGGAAATACCGTTCTTCTATAATCGCTCGGAAGGTTCAAAAAATCAACAGTATTAAAAAACAAAAAATGCAAACCAACATCAAAATGCTTACCACAGTGCATACTTTTGTTATTATATCATAACTGAATTGTTCTAAACATTCTCCTGAGCCTTAAAACTCACAGCGCTTTCTAATTCTTTACAGAACCAAAATTTCCCGCCCATGACTGTGAGATTTGGCATTTTTTCAGCGGCAGATACATTTCAGTATTTGCAAAAAATACCTGTTCAGCTGGTGTGAAATTATTTTTTAAGATTTTAATCTTCCTCAGCAAAGTACATCCATCGCCGTCCTCCGATGACTTTTGTAAAGCTTCACGATGTGATCGTCGAAGTTCCTCGTAAAGCTCAACAACGCTGCAATAAGTATAGTATAACAAACGCATACATATGCAAGAATAATAATTAATTAGATATAAAAAAAGTGATGAAATCTATTTTTAACGTTCCTGGAGTCTGAAAACTGGTTCAGTACGTAAATTTGGAGAGTGCAGGAATGGTGAAGAATCGATGGAGATGTCTTTGAATTAAGAGTACTTTTAACAGCTCTTAGTGTAGGCACGTTGTATTTTTAAGCTTATTTATAAATTAGCTCGTTCGTGATAAAATCAGTATTATAGGTGTGGAAGTCCATGCTAGCAATATTATAACGTATAACTCTTAAGCAGCTAAGTACCTCGATGCGGTTTTCGTCTAGCTAAAAAGCGACAAGCTCAGTCGTTGAATCTCGAACTCAACTTTTCGCTGTTTCGTACAGAAGACCCCACATCTATCCGCAATCTCATACAAAAAGTTCCCCATTCCTCGCTATCCTATGAAGAAGCCCTTGCGTAAATGGGACACTGGTGCACGCACGGCATAGCTACAGTATATTCATGATAAAGCTTCCATGTGGCTAAAGCCATTTCAAAGAGCCATCGAGCTGGTGTTTCTTTGCGGGGACAAAAGGAACCTCAAAATCACTAGGTGACTGATCAGCAGGTGATGCAACATTGGTAAAAAGGAGCATAAAATGAAGAAAGGAATTGGTAATGGTTCTCAGCTATACCACTGAAGAATCAGTGGTGACCTTTAAGGCAGTATATTTTGGGTAACATACCGATGGCAAACTCCTGCCATATCGCCGAAATTCTCAGCCAAAGCAACAAGACGAGTGAAACTGTAGATAAGGTAGAGATAGAAAAATACATTC